TGCCTGACCTCTTGCACAGCTGTCTAACTCAAAGCAGCCCCTTGGCAACACATCCCAACATGCGTTTATCGCCTCCCTCTCCCTGGGAGACTGTGAACCCTCTTCTCCTGTGACCAAGGAGCTGGAGGGCAGAGGAGGGAAACAAGCAAGAGGATGCAATTGGTCATGCTCTTCATTCCCATCAAAGCAGGGAGTAAAGCCAAACTCTGCATGTGCATCCCCAGAAATGTAGTTCCCACAGGGTGCCAGGAATCCACCACTTGATTCAATACACAGTCCTCAGGGATGCTTGCTCAACTTTAACTCATGGTGCTTTAGGGAGGAGAAAAGACACATAGCATCCATCTTCCCCTCTGCCCAAGCTCACGTCCCACCCACAGACACTCACTAACACAGAGATAGGTTCTTGCATGCGCTTACACCCACCCAGGATATGCAAGCTACCCTGCACTTACAAACAGCTCTCGCATACATGAGTGTAACGTGCTAACGCTCCAGCACACCCTCTGCAGTGCCAAATTTCTCATGGAACACACTCCCACAGTCACAGAGATGCATGCACACTCCGTTAAAAGCAGCTGAAAAAGAGCTGAGTGTGACATTAGATGTGCCTGTCTACGATACAGTACACGGAATGCACATACCTCTGCCATCAGCTGTTATTCCAATGCCGCTACTGCAGAGTGCCTGGAATTCAGCTGTGTAGAAAACACAACAGAGCCATTAGCTTTTCTAGACAGTTCACACACAGTGACATTAATTCTGGATAACATCGGATTTATTGTTTGTTTGTTAGAATGTCATCTGTGGGCTTCCAAGCAGTATCTGTTTATACTTATGCAATGTGCGTTTTAGAACTGATACTCGCAGTTAGTAGTCCAACACTGTGAGAATCCCGGCAATGAGATCAGCCTCAGATTTGTTGACTGCATGGCATCCCTTTCTCCCTGCCTATGGCCTTCCCATGTCACTGCCAAGCTGTCTAGGCCATCTCAGGGACCTGTCAGGGACCCACAAAGTCTCTGAGTGCCTCCCTGGCTTTTTGCCAACTCAGATGGAAGAGGAGCTCACCAGAGTTTTTGGCTGGACAGGGTTGGCAGGGCTCTCCGAAGCCATGGTCTGGGTTAGCACAGCAGCACTCGGACTTGGTGACTGCTCCTGGAAAGGGACGCGCGCACGTGCCCTTTTTAATGCCTCCATAGCAGGTGCTGCGCATATGGGTGTCCACGCAGACTCGTCCATCCACCCCGATAGCCAGGCCCCCGAGGCACTCGCAGCGGAAGGAGCCCTCTGTATTAATGCACCAGCCATTCATACAGATTCCTGGCGTCTCACACTCGTCAATGTCTGAAAGAAGAAGCACAAACTGGCTGTTACCTACCCACAGGCAGCAGGACACACAGACAGGGGTTTTGGACTATTTTGCAGGGAGACTTGGAGACTAAGAAGGAACTAGAGGTGTAGTTTAGAGCATCACATCCCCTGCATGCTCTGCTGGCTGTCCCTGATGGTTCAAGGGAAGGAACAGGAATCTGGGCTTCTTCAGTCTCATGAGACCCAGCTCCTTCTCAGAGCAGCAGGATCTGGTGTCTGCTCTGTTAATGGGGCAGTGACCCAGAGAATTCACCCTGTGTCACAGCAGCATTATCAAAGAAATGCTGTGTTCTCCTCCTCCTCCTTTCTCCACGCTGCCTTCACATCCTAACTTTCTTGGCTTTGGGAGGTGGCACACAAACTGTAGTGGAATGTGCTCTAGAGGCTGGGGAAGCTGTGGAGGTGATTGCTACCAGCTCACACTGGATGTACAGAGCTTCACAGCCCTGCTTAACCTCCTTCAGAAAGAGGATTTAAGCTCCAATTTGCGCTGAAGTAGTGGAGCTGCAAGAACATTCTCCCTTGTGCCCATCTGCTGAGAGGGGGTAGTTTCTGGTGGCAGAGCAGGAGATGCCTGGCAACAGCCTTGGTTTTTCTCAGGTCCCCTTCGCCTCAGACACATCACAAGTCCTCAGGAACATGGACGGCAGGCTGGGAAGAGGGCAGAGACTAAGCCTGGGGACGTACGCACCGACACAGTACCGCCCATTGGGAGCCAGCACAAAACCAGGCTTGCAGATACATTTGAAGCTGCCGTCCTCATTGATACACATCCCGTTGAGGCACATGTTAGTCGTGGCACATTCATCATGATCTGGGGAGGACAAACAGAAAACATGAGCTGAGCCTGAGAGCTGCAGCAAGACTCTCCTGTGCTCAAAAACTCTCTGTCCCCCATCTCATGGTCAAATTGCTTCTTATGGCAGCAGGTGCTAATCCTCAAGGCAGCGTTCCCACTGCTGCTCCTGGCCAGAGCTGTCCTGCTGTATCCCTGCTGCTCTTGGTACCCTGGTCAGGCAGTGCAGCTCACTTGCTCAAGTGCAAGACTTGCACACTGGCTGCTGGAGGAAACAACTCTCAGGGTGATAGAGAATGTCCTGCGCAACCTACAGGAGGACTCCAGGAGCACTAGCACCCTTATAAAAGCGCCTTCCTATTTCAGTGCAACCGTACCCTCTCCTCTCAAGTTAAGACACACTATGCCCTAGCAGCGTCTACCCAAGATAAAGGGAGTATAGCACAGATTAAAGTAACCACCAGTCCCCCAAGAGAACATAGTCTCAGCTCAGTCCCAACCTCCCCAAGGACACAGATGACAGCACATCAGGACATAGCTTACCAACACAGTTCTTGCCATCAGGGGTAATTTCAAAGCCAGCATTGCAGATGCACTGGAAGCTGCCATCAGTGTTAACACAGCGGCCGTTCCTACACATCACTCCGTTCATGATGCACTCATCAATATCTGGCAGGGAAATAAACATAAGAAAGTAGCAGCAGGTGGAGTGAGAAGCAGTTCCAGCTTAACCTGCCGCATGAGAAAACCAGGCAAGTGCTCTCAGACACTCAGAGTGTGCCCTGCTCCAGGATCACACTCTTCCCCTCTGTACAAACTGCCCGAGATGGAAAAGATGCGGAGAAAGCTTTCTGCACGCTCTGGAAGCATCACTACATTTGTGAGGTTACATCTGTGGGATCTCATGCCCTCCATGATGTCTTTGTCAACGTCCTGCCTCAGGGCCCCCTTTGCAACTCAAACTATCCTAGGCAACAAAAGCCCTCAGATCAACAGCCACGGACTAAGGCCTGCTACTAAGTGCCATAGAGATGTGGTCCCAGTGCCTCAGCAAAATGAACTCCAGGACAGAAGCTGGGGTACAATGTGGCTGGCTGCAGTACAGCAGCAGGGGAGGTGCTGTGTTGCATATCAAGAACATGGTGTCCACTTGCTCTGGGAGACAGGCCACTGAATGCCTCTGGGTAAAGATGAAAGATGAAAGGAAGGGGACTATCTAGGGTAGGGGGTTGTTACTGACCCTTTATCCAGAGCTGGGGAAGACAGGATGAGCTATTTTATAAGCAAATTACAGAAAACCAATAGATCCAGATGCTTTGTAGAGCCTAACGTGGAAAAGTTAGCTTGAGAGCAGCCTGGCAGAAAAGGGTCTGAATCACAGATGAAATGGGGTGGCCCTGCACAGAAGAAAACCTTCTTTTGGGCTATATCAACAGAAGAGCTGTGTGTAAGCCACATGGGACAGTTTCTCGTCCTGACAGCTAGAGAGATCACAGCTGAAGAATGACATCCAATTTTGGCACCACACATTAGAAAAGATAAAGACAAAATGGAGGAAGTTGAGAAGATAAAAACAAGGACAATGAAAAGCTTAGAAACGTTATCAATGAGAGAAGATTGAGAGACTTGCATTTGTTTAGTCTAGAAGGGAGATGACAGGGGGGTTACAAGTTGCAGTTTCCCAACATGTAAAAAAATGTTTTAAAGGAGACAGTGATGAACTAATTTTCATGTCCAGAAAGAGAATCACAAGAAGAATACAGCTTAAAAGATTCAGTTTGGAAATTAGGAATAGCCTTTCACATTGTCAGGCAACTGGGGGGGTCCTTTGGAAACCCCTTCATCAGAAGCCACTTGACAGGGAAAAAAAAAAAAAAAAAAAAATCAAAGGTCAGGCACTGACAGGGGAATTTGCCTTTGCTTCTTGTTCACATGGGACATTACCTTCCCATAATTCTTTATTAGCAGTCCCTCATCCAGAGCACCATCTTGCTGCAAGACACTGACAGAACAACTTTGCTAGAAATCATAAGCCCTACATTGATACAAGAATTCCTCAACATCCTATCTTTTGTCAAAACAAAATGTTGTTATCTTGAAATAAGAGTTTTGCTCTTGAAAAGGACCCTGTAAGTTCCTTGATTGCTGCTAGCCAATTTTAAGGTAGATAAAGGTAGAGGAAACTTCTCCTTGACAGATTTCAGTAGACTGCTGGCAACTCAAATAAGTTGTTCTGAAATCCCATCACACACCTGGATGGGAGGTTGTTTGGTGCTGGGACTCGTCACTCTGTTTCCACTTTACAACCATTTTCCTTTAGTACCTGAGTCTCTGATAAACCTGTTGACACTCTTGAAGCACACTGTGTCCTCCCAAAAGGAGACACAGAAAATACTTACCAATGCAAGCCTGCTTTGTGGGGGTGCTCTGGAAACCTTCGTGGCATTTGCAGTGGTAGGAGCCAGGGGTGTTCACGCAGTCACCATGCACGCAGGGGCTGCTGGAGCACTCATCCACATCTGCAAGAAGAAAAGCCTAAGCCTGCGAGTCACCATTATGCTGGGAATGCAAAACAAGATACCAGGACAGGCAACAAAGGCTGCCTCCTGTGAGCTGCTGAGCCCATCCTTTCAACTCCAGTGCTCAGCATCCTGACAGCACAGTCAGCAAGGTCCCTCTGGATGGCATCTCTTCCCTCAAGTGAATCAGCTGCACCACTCAGCTTGGTGTCATCTGTAAACTTGCTGAGGGTGCACCCAATCCCACTATCTATGTCACTGATGAAGATATTAAGTAGTATTGGTCCCAGTACAGACCCTTGAGGGACACTACTCATTACTGGTTTCCACTTGGACATTAAGCCATTGACTGTATCTCTTTCAACACAGTCATCCAGCCAATTCCTTATCCATCCAACAGTCCATCTGCCAAACCTATATCACTCCAATTTAGAGGTAGGAATGTTGTGGGGAACTATTTAAAAGGCCTTACAGAAGTACACGTAGATGACATCTGTAGCTCTTCCCTTCTTTGCTGATGCAGTGACTCTATCATCAAAGGCCACTAGATCAGTCAGGCACAATTTTCCCTTGGTGAAGCCATGTTGGCTGACTCTACTCACCTCCATCTTCCATGTGTTTCAACATATCTTCCCTTCTGCACAGTTTATAGCCATCAATCGCAGTGCTTCAGTTATGTGATTAGTCCCACCACACTTCAGTGTAGCTTTCTAGCTATATAGTGGCTTCCAACTCCTCCTGTTTGTTACCCATGCTGCATGCATTGGTATAGAGGCACTTCAGCTAGGCTATCAACCCTCTCACCTTTCTAGAGGAACACGCCCTAATTCCTTTCAGGCATTTCACAGGTGTTTCCCTGTTGGTTCCTAATACATCAGCAGCTCCTGGGTTCTTCTTTGTTGCTCAAAACTCCATCCCCTTCTCCCACTAAATCTAGTTTAAAGGTCTCCTTCGAAGTCTGGCCAGCTTGTTGGTGAAGACCTTCTTGCTCCACTTGATCAGGTGAATCCCATCAGCTCCCAACAGACCTGGCTTCTCATGGAAGCCAAAACCTTGAGTATGGCATCAGGCATGCAGTCAGGCATTCACCTGTTAAATTTCTCTCCTCCTTCCTGAACCCCTTCCTCCGACTGGGAGGATAGAGGAGAAGACGAACTGTGCTCCAGATTCTTTTAACATTGCTCCAAGTGACATATAGTCTCTTTTGGTGGTTCTAAGTTGCCTTGTTGCACTATCATTAGACCCCACATGGAACAGTAGGAGTGGGTGATAATCTGGAGGGTTCACCAGTCTCAGCAGCCTCTCAGTGATGTCGCAAATGTGAGCTCCTGGTAGGCAGCAAACTTTGCTAGATAAATTGTCTGGATGGCAATTGGGTGCTTCGGTGCCTCTCAGTAAGGCATCTCCAATTACTAATGCTTTACGTGCTTTTCTGGTGGCACTGGTTCTAGTGTATGTGGGGGGCTGGATCAAGGTTGCGTGGTTGGCTTTTCCTGGATCTTGGCTGTTACTCATGTGCTCTTTGTTCTCCAAACCCGGAGTGTCATATCTCTTACGTAGGGGCACTTCAGAGGAAGGTTCTTCCTTCTGCCCTGAGCAGAGACAAGGGTCCAGTCTCCTTCATCTTATGAGTTACATGTCAGTCAGCTCAAGGTTGAATTCAGGCTTACCCCCACCTTGCGCAGCCTTAAGGTAGGGCTATCACTCAGCCTGGAACAGCACACGATACCGTGTATCAATCTCTCACATTCCTGGATACTGCGCTGCCTGCTGAGCTCCTCATAACATAGGTGCTTGTTTGAAGAGTTCTTCTATCTGGGCAAACTTCCAGCTATGATATCCACTAGTGCCTTCAGGTGCTAGGGGGACTTCCAGGTGCTGGATCTCCATACAACCTAACGTCTGGACAGTTATTTCAGCCCTTGGGTGGAGATGTCAGGATAGGAAGGCTGTTCTTTGCAGATGCAGTGGGCGGACACCATTTTCTTTCAGCAGGATATAGTTCTCAGAAAAAATAGCCCATTTACTTACAAAACGGTAATTCTTTTGAAAGATTACATCCTTCTAATTCTAATTCCTTGGAGACCTCAAGCTTCTGAGTAGCCTTGCACAGCCACCAGCTAGCTGGGGTGACTGTTGGGGCTGCAGCCTAAGCCTGCGGGGTAAGCAGAGCAGGCTGATAACTGGCAGAGTGCCCTGCCCAGGGGCCGCTTCCATAGGGCTTCCCGTGGCATGAACTGGCCACCACTAAGCCAATGGCAATGCTGTGGCTACCAGAGTTGTCATCCTGAACGTTCCTCAGGGGCAGACATATCCTTTCCACCATGCTGCTTCAATACCTGACACAAGCGCTCTATCTCCAGTCTGTTGTGGGGAGCTCTGACTGGGATGGGGGCTTTTGGGACAGCAGCTCGAGGTGCTGTTAGGAACAGGCACGGAGCACAGCTGGAGCTGACCCGTGTGCATCTCAGCCTACTCACCAATGCACTCTCCGCGCACGTCCTGCTTGTACCCCATGTTGCACTCACAGCGATAGCTGGATGGGGTGGGGATGCAGCGTCCATTCAGGCAGAGGTTAGTGAAATGCTTGCAGATGTCAATGGTCTGATTCAAAGTGGCGGTTCCTGGAAAGCACAGAGACAGCATCAGGTAGAGGATTACAGCTCCCTTCCTTTGATTGTCCCCAGGGTCAGTAAGTTCAAACACTGATGGATCAGTGATCCTCCTGGGCCCTGAACAGCCATGGGGCTGCAGACACAAACTCATCTGCCTCAGAAATCTCTGCAGGGTGCTGCGGTACCTGGCATGCCCCTACCCCACTGACATGCACAAGATGGCACAGCCTCTCAGAAGCAAGGTGGGAATTAATATTTATTGACATCCAGTGTATTCTCACAGGCTTCAGCCCTTAGCAAAGAGTTATATGGGGATGCACGAGAGAGGTGTCCAAGGTGTTGGGAAAAACAGTTTTGTTTTGGGGAGGCAGAGAGCGAGGTGGTGACATGAAAGCTTCATTCCTATTTGGTAATTAGAAAGATATTCTGCATTGGAGCCAGCCTCAGCTCCCTTGCTCTGCCAGGAGACGCTGTTTGATCTGCTTCTGGGCTCAGCATCCTGCACAGCATTAGTGTCACATCCCATCACTCCCCCTGTGTCAAAATAAACCTTGTAGCTGGCTAAGAGCATGGGTACTTCACTCGTGTGCATGGCTCAGAGAAGTGGGCCGGCACGCAGGCAGGCTCGCTGCTTGTGTTCTGAGACAGGCAGTCAAATTGGGTCAGCACAGTAAGAAAGTAATTTTAATTACCAATGCTTGAACTTCCTGGGCCCATTCCAGGCAGACCTGGGATCCCGCCTTGTCCATTTGCCCCATTTGGTCCGATGCCTCCAGGCCCATTGAGTCCTGGCCCAACACCATTGGGCCCGAATCCAGGAATTCCTGGAAAGTTCCCAGGGAACCCTGGCACGACTGGGAGTCCTTCGATGCAAAGCCTGCGGTACTCATCTGAAACGAAACAGCTGCCTTAGTGCTTTTCCAAGAGTGCCTGAGTCCCCCTCCTGCCTCTGCCAGAGTGCAGAGAACAGAGGGATGGAGACAGACTGGCAGAGAGCAAAGAGAATGGGTGCTGACGGGAACAGGGCAGATGGGTGAGGAGGGCTTTAACACCCTCCACTCCGGAGCAGATGACGAGACACAGCTTGCCAGGGTGTTTGGCAACAGCTTCTTGGGGTGCGTGGGACAGCTGGCACCGTGGGCTCCCTTCATGCGGGAAAGCACAGGACACAGGAGGGTGCCAGACACTGTAAAGCTCTGCCCTGCTGGAGATGAAAGAAGAGAGGAAGGGAGATAGATCTACAGTGCTGTGCCTTCTCAAGGCCTCCGGCTGCATGGGCTCACCCTCATTTGGCCCCAGGGTTCAATTACAGTGGAAGCCAAAGACAGCTGAAGGGGTAGGAGGAAAGGGATAAAGTCTTGCCTTGGCTGAACTCATCTGGCTCAACTTCAGATGAGACCCAGGCAGAGGAGCTACCATCCCCACGTGACCTTTCTGTGGATGTTATGTTGACGATTCTCCACATCATGCCTGGGGTACCACTAGGGCCATCAGAGCCATGAGTTGGCCCAGCAGCAGGTGGAGGTCTTTTGTGTTGCGCTTACCAGAACCCCGGACAGGGCACATCTCCGGAGTCTGACCAATGGCCCAGCAACGCCCTGAGTCACAGCAGCACTGCATCTTCGTGTACTGTCCAGGAAGGTCCCCGGCACAGCGGCCCCCGATCAGAGCAGAGAAACATGTCCCAATTCGCTGGTCTGCAGAGAGGGAGAGGAGAAGGAGATGCATTCACAGTGTGTCATCACCATACTCTCAGCCAGGTCCTGAGTGCCTGTCCCCAATGGCATCTCCAGCTTTCCAATGTTCCAACCTGACCTCCTGTTCTGCCTCATCCTCCTAGATCATGAGGTTCTCCAGAACCTCCATCTGGAGCACATCAAGGCTGTAGGGCCTGGCCTTATTCCCCAGTATTAGATCTCACACTCCCATTTAGGCTCCTAAATACTATAAGCAGCCTGACCGAGAGCCAGAAACAGGTAGTAGGTGGACTGTCCCTCTCCATTGGATTCTCCATTGGGAGCCGCCTTCCTTGCCCTGCAGGAAGAACAAGCCGACCCAGCAGATTCTGGCTGAATTCACGGAGCAGAAAACAGATGAGATCCCCCACCTCATCCCATGTTTCCTCGCCTTCCCAGAGAAAAGGGACTATTTACAGGTGTCTCCCTCCTCTCACTAGAGTTTCGGCACTGATGAGAGATGTTAGGGACAGGTTCCCCCACTGACCCAACACACCAGGCTGGGAGAGGGAACAGGCTGAGGGAAGGTGGTCTGCATGAGATCACTGCAAACGCTGACACTTCCACTACTGGACAGCCTGACCCATCCCCTCAGTGGGGACAGATAAACTGTTCTGGACTAAATATATTATTCAACAAAATTACATCCTGGGGCTGAGATCTCCATTCTTCAGGTTCCTCCTCTGAAGTTAGTGTCTGTCTTGCTTATTTATACTACATTTGTGACCAAGGATTGGCCATCAGTGCCAATATGACTGTACAACATGCCCTGAACTTGGCCATGTGGAATTGCAGTGCCTTCTCCTCTCTTGGGCTGTTGTACCCAGCATGATATATTTTCCTCTATCTTCTGCCAGTAAAAACACCTCCCTGTGACAAAAACAATCCAGCGCTGCCTGCTACTATTTTGAGGGTTCCCAGACAGTGAGTGGGCATTCCCCAGCCATTCCTGCAGCCATTCCTGGTCTAGGCCGAAGCCTTGGCTGAAACAGTCCTTTCCCTTGCTGTCACTTATTGCAGGACAGAGCTGGCAGACCAAGGTGGTCAGCCATCTCCTACACCACTTTGGTCAGGCTGGGGACCCAGGTACAACCCTTCCAATGTTAGTCAGTGATCCCTGATGCTGTGCTAAGCAAGGACCTTACCACAGCCAATGCTGTCCAGTGTGGTCCTGCACATCTCAGGCTTGGAAAGGACCTACCTCTCCTTCCCAGAACTGATTTAATGGCAAATGTCCCACATCCCAGGCTTCCCATGAGGAAGCACTCCCTGCCAGGTCCCAGTGGTCCCAGCATTTCTCGCTAAACAAATGGAGCTGTTCCCAATTCCACATACCTCCAGCCTGATCACTCCCATTCCCAGTGGATGCCTGTTTCAGGTCATGGGTTAGTTCCCACAGCCCGGACTGAGCTGGAAGGCGAACGAGCCCTGGATGGTGGTCAAAGTCCGCAAGCCTGGCCAAAGCCACAGACACCGAGCCTGGCATCGGTGTTTGCTGTGTGTGGCTTCTGGACAAGGCCCAGGAGACTGAGGGTCTTTCACATGTCTGGCAGGCTCCATCTGGCACCAAGTCCTCTAGAAAAACCTGGAATCTTCCACTCATTCATCTCCCGTCCTTGTTTCTCAAGTAAATTAATGAGGGCGAAAGTCTAGTCTGATTTGTCATCTGTGCCTCTAGACTGACATTAGCCAGCAGGCTGACACTTTCCTGAAATATAATTGAAATTAATTGCATGCAGCTGTTTGATCTGTGGGTTGCGGTTACATTTCTTCTCTAATCACAGCTCAGTGACTTGCAGAGGACAGTGACCCCATTTAAAGCCGGGGTGACTAAACCAGCAGGTCTTTTCTCAGATACATCCTTTCCGCCATTCTGCAGCACTGAGTTCAACATGAACTGTTCCCTTTTAGGAAAGTTTATTCACCAAAGAGACTTGCAGAAAGAAAGACAGAGTAGGAGAAGGGGGATTGAATGCAGGACCAGATTAGCTCCCAATCCTAATGAAGGGAAGTCCTAGCCACATGGGTGTTTGGGTCATCCTGAGCCCTTGACCTCTGGCAAGTGGCAAGAGTGCAAGAGCAATGTCCACATCTCTGCAGGTTTCATCAGCTGCTGGAATGTAGAAGAGGGCTGTGTTTCCACAGCACATTGACATTGAGTTGATGTTACTTAGCACATAGCCCACACTTACTCCAGAAAGAAGCTGCTCTCTGAACAAGCCAGGGCATTTGGAAAAGCTGTACCTCAAACTCTTGATGGCAGTTTAGCTGAGGGTTTAGGGCTGAGCTTAAATGAACTTCTAGATATGAGGGTGGCAGTTTGGAATAAACCCTTTGGGCATTAGAGAGGACAGATCCCACCCGTCTCCTTCTGTTCTTCTGTGGGATGCTTGCTGTCCCAAAAGCTGTGATACACGATGACAGCCAGTCAGTTAATGGGCAAGGAGTGATTCAGAGAATGGAACCTCCTTCCCCACAGACAGACATGTGCTGACAAGTTTGACAAGGCAGCGAGGTCACAGCAGTTTGTGTAACAGAGGGAATGGTCCAGCCCTTATTCATCTGGACAAATGTTTATTAAATTCAGCTGTCTTTGCTGCAATTTGTAATAATCTCTCTCAGAAATGAAGGTCAGAACTAATTGAAAACTCATCTGGAGCTGCCTTGGGCAGAGAGAGGAGTGGATGGAAAGAACAGTGGGTCCCAGCAGTCCCTCTGTGACCTCCTGCAGGACCACCCACACACTGGAGGTATGAGCACAAAGCCGTCATGGTTTTGTTCTGCTTTCCTCTGCAGCTGTTAAGGGAACAGGTTTGCACAATAACCGCAGTAAATCAGATAATGCTGCAGGCGAGAAAGGAGGTAAAATTCTGCGTGAGATTAGACAGCGCACAGAGGTGGGGTAGAGCCACAGGTCTGTCAGAGGTCTCTGATCCAGAGAGGCTGTGGATGCTTTACAAGGTCCAGCCAGGAGCAGTAAAGCAGGGGATGGATTTTGGCCAGCTTATCATAATGGGACAGGAGCGACTCCAAGCTGGACCTTCCTGCTGGGGTCTGGCAGAGTCTACACCCATCTGGGTGGGCTGTGATGCCCTGGTGTGTGTGTCCTGATGCCCAGGAGAAGCCCCACACCAGGAGTTGCACCCTCTGAGTGACTACCCAGCATGGTTAATCTCTATCTTCCCTTTCAGTGTCGACATCCTCTTTGTGGTCAGCACAAGATGTCTGAGATCTGTTGTGTACCTGCAAGGGATTTTGCAATTTTCAGCCTGTGCAAACCTGGTTTGTTTCTTTGGTGGTGGGGTAGGGGCAGGGAGAGATGGAGGAATAGAAAGTACTGGTACTGCTTCCCAGGAGAGAACTTTAAAGGGTGAGTGTTTCTCTCACTTTGTGTCTTGTCATGTAAAGAAATTGAGAAGCTCAAGTGACCAAACCCAAACAAAGTAATGGTTGCAAAAGGCAGTTGGCTCTGACTACAAAGGACCGGATGGCTATTAGCTCCGAAGGGATCTGCAACACAGCAGCATGTAGCCAAAGGTCTCCCACCCAAGATGTCCAATGGCGCTTGGTTTGCAAGGAAGAAGGGTGCAAAATACTGTGGTGAGGACAGTTAGTCTGGACTGATGATGTCATCACATATTCTCTGGTTCTGGAAAACTGACCAATTTCATTCTTGTCTGGGTAAGATTAGATGGTGGTGTCTGTCTTAGTGAAGAGTTATGCCAGAGCAAAGGCACAAAGCACCCCACTGTGCACAGCTCCCACCAAACTGCAATATCCATGGCACACCTTGGCCACCAATGCTTCTGCTGTCTCATCGCAGGAGGGCTGCAGTGCAAACGGGGAAGGTCTGGGTGTTATTGCAGGACAGTTTCTTTGCTACTGGCTATTGCTATGGTAACTGCTATAATAAATTCACCCCCTACCTGGCTGTTCGCTCTTCTCCAAATTCACCTCCCAGTTCAACAGTTACAAGGTTGAGGTATAAAAGCATCCCTGAAATGATCTGATAAAAAATGATTCTCTCCAGGGGGAAATGCTTTACAAATGTGGACTGAATGACCCAGTTTGCATTCCAGGTTCCCACACAGGTTCACACTATGGAGCAACTATGGAGCCCTTCTACACCCTCTTGTCCCTGCAGATGACTGGGCAGACCTCTGCTTGGCAGCATCGCCAGCTCCCTCGATGCCTTGGAAGCTGTTGGGGGGCTCTGCTCAAGGTTCCTCCCCAACTCCTTTTCACTCTGTTTTGAGTCTGTGACCCTCACACCATTTCCCTTTTGTCATTTCCTGCCCTCATAAATATCTCCTCATATTTTCTTTTTCCTGTTGCTCTTTCCTTTCCTGGATAATGACCAAAGCAGGCAAAAAGGGTTCTCCAGGCAGGTAAAGTCCTCAGTAACACCCTCACAACCTTCTCTGAGCCCAGGACTTTGCAAGAAGAAGCAAGAGCTGGCCCTACCTGGAACTCTAGGCAGTAAATCTGCCAATGTTGCCCAAGAGGAGATAAGACCCAAATCTCTCAGAGCTTTGCTGCACTATCAGGAAAAAGAGCAAAGAAAGCAATGTGCAGGAGTGCTGACTTGCAACAAACAAGGGAACACCATGTGCATGTCTGGAAATGCACCTGAAAGGCCATTTTTCTCATTTGAAAATTATTCTTTTAAGCTGTTCTTGAAAAGCAACCCATTGTACTGAAAAAAAAAAAAAAAACCTCACAGCCTGCTGGAGCAGATCCTTCTGCTGCCCGCAAAACACTGAGTCTGTCTTTTACAAGCATAAATGAATGGAACTGTTACGAACATGTGTGGAACTGGATTCTTTGTGTCAAGCACAGGTGGTTGAATCATTCAATAAATGTTCATTTCAAACTATGACGGACTTTCTCCAGCTACGCTGCTGTTTGCATTTTACTGAGGAAGGCAGTGAAAGCAGCTAATGAGATTTGGGATCAACTCAAGCTCAGTGTCTTGCTGTTTCAGCTGCAAAAACTACAGGAGATTATTCAAATGCAATAAAAAGGTGTTTACTTTACTAAAAAGGGAGGGGAAAGGGATGAGAATATATTAAGGCTGCCACCATAAAGTCACCACATAGCCAATGCTGGTGCCCTATGATATATGAGACACTGTGGTCACTTCCAGTCTAAACATCTGAGAGATGGCAGCGTGAAAATCTCTTCTGCTCTCTCGATGCTGTTCATGCTTTAAGGGTGGCCACTTTATTTATTAATTTTCAATTTTACAAACTATTTATTTGATTTATTTCATAGCACGTAAATTGCGGGCTTAAACTACCATAAACTCTCAAAATGAGCACTAAAACCTCCTCCAATGATAGAAGCAGGACTTGCAAAATATGGATCCCAGGACAACACCACCCCAATAGTAACTGTGCTTTTTGCCAGAAAAAATATTGTCTGTCCCAAAATGTGACAGCACACTAGCAGCATATATTAGCTCAGGGAAATGGCTACAGCATGATGTATTGAGTTCAGATGCAGTCATAGTCCACTGCAGCTAACTAAGCTTCGGACTATTTTTAAATTTGGGCTTCTAATTTTATTTAGATTTCATTTCTTAAGCACTTGGTTTCAAGGAAAATGGGGAAATGTCCACATGACTCATCTGACAGCCGTCACACCCCTCCGGGCTTATAGCAGGGTCTGGGAAATAGGGAGGAAAAGAATTTCATTCTCATTAAAATCTATCAGATTCCCAAACAAGGTGACTTGTACGTTATACTTTACAACATTTTTCTTTCCGGAACTAGAACATGATTACTTTTTACTCCAGGTTCTGTGGATATAAAAGAATTTGGAAAATTTTTTTTCTGTATTAATTTCCAGGACTTTAAACAGAAAGCTGTACCTGACATTTTCCATTGCACTAACAACGATCTTTGCCTTTTCTGTAACGGTTCCTCTTTAAAAATCCTTGCATCCTTACCTTTCTAAAGGCGAATGAACTTTCTGAACAGTGAGACAAACCCTGGGATTTATTTTGACTAAACTAAGTGCCCTTGCTGAGAGCAAGTAAACAGAGCGCTGATCTATTTATCATAGAAACTTGTCTGTTACAAAGAGAAATGGACCATCAAATATTTACAAGGCTTGGAAAGGAATTTCGATCTGTTAAACATGCAAGATTCACTCCAAGCTCTGTAGTCTGGAGGTAGGACAGCTCGTCAGTCTGGGGAAAGCTTGCTTGGACTCACGTCAGTTCTGCAAAGCTTTGAAATACAGACACCTTGAGCCAAACTGAGATGGGGTGAACAGGTACATCAGAGCCGGTGGAGTGGCACACACCAGCCCCACCCAAACCCTTCATGCAGTCTGCAGGATGGGGACTGCAAGACTTGATTTCCATATGAGCCTGGGAATCATTTTGTTGTCAGAAATCGGATACTGTGGGAAGAAGGTGGGCTATGAGGTAATGTGCAAGAGCTTACACGACAGCTTTGTAAACCTGCAGGTTCAGCATGGGTGCAGAAATAGGTGTCTGCAGAGCCCTGTGCTATGCTTGGGAAGCACCTCTTTCTCTCCACTGGGTACAGAGGGGATCCACACAACCAGCTCAGTGCAAAGCAACTCACTCCTGAAAGACTGAGTTCAGTGAGATGAAGCCAATTTAGTTCACAGGCCTACTGATTCTTAGCTTGGGGCAGTAGGGATTTATGAGCCATTACCTGTGGTCTAAGCAGGAAGGAGGAGGAGATGATAAAAGTCACCGTTTATTTGCATTAGTTATGCAAACACTTGGAGTAAACCTTTCCCCCCTTCACCTCTGCAAAGCAAGCAGAAGAATGTGCAGTTGTGGGCTGTTCCCCTTCACTGTGTCCCTCTTTGCTCCAGGAAGGCTTGCAAGCCTTCCCTTGAATTTACACACCCCGCAACCACACACTGTGCCTGCAGTTCAGTTGTAGGGGGAGTACTGGTGTCTCTCCCTGGCTGACATCTAATGCAGGAGAAAAGAGGTAGCATCTGGGATTCTCCCACTAGCTGGTGTAGTTCCGTGAGTAGGAGCACAAGGATCCTTCCTCAAACAGACCACTATCCCAGCCAGACACCTTCCACCCCAGTCCTCCTCCTAGTATTCTCAGCAACCCCTTGTCAAACACTTCAAGCACTGAGGCACCTGCGGTCCAAGTTATGGAGATGGAAAAAGCCCTGGTCTGCAACAGCATCAAAACCTGTGACCGGGACGGACCATGTCAGCCATGGCACATGCAAGGACAGCACATGGAAAAGAGCATTTTCCAGCGATTGCAGGAACAATGTGCCCTTCAATTTGCAAATCTGGTGATCACTAGATAGTGATTTGCAAATCACCAGGTCTGGGTTTCAGAGTGTGATCTCTCCCTGTATCTGTGGTCCTGAGATCTATTTAGCATCTTACCAATGCAGCGTGATCCATCAGGGCTGGTCATGAAGCCACGTGGACATGTGCACACATAGCTGCCTGCTGTGTTGGTGCACTCGCCACCATCACACACGCCAGAGATTGCGCCACACTCATCCACATCTAGAAAAGAACAAACCAACAGTGATTATGGTCCCCTGCAAACCATCCCCTTTCCTATCTGCAGCGTGGATCCAGAACCAGAGCTGGGATCACAGAGGACGGTAGCTGGTGTTACAGGTTGTCATGGGGTCCTTGAGACCATAAGTGGCCTTCTAGCAGTGCATCAGTATGGAAAGCAAGACTCCCCCAGAGGGTGACAGAGAGGGCTTCATGGAGTCCTCTGCTTATCTCTACTGCCAATGTAGGTCTTTGGGTAGCCTGATCTAAAATGCTGAGCTCCCTGGAGTACAAAGGAAGCTTCAGGACAGAAACATGTCTGTGCAGGTGCATGACTGGCTGGACAGCATGTGACTTGGAGGCCTCTCTGAAAGCAGAGCTGCAACATGGGAGACAACATCACACTTTTAAAAAGCACTAGGCTCATGCATTATTCACCAAATTTCTCCATACAGGAGGGATTTGGTTCAATTTTAAGTATGTTCGGGCATCTATATCCAGGTGAAAAGGACTCTGTACTACCAGTTAGGCAAGGAGGGTCTGGACATATCACTCCATGGGTTCAGCTCCTCAGTCAGCAGTCTTATTTTAGTGTGAACTGATTTGCATAACAATGCCATGAGTACACCATAGTTTGAACTATTTATTTCGTCACAGGGATGATTAGTGAAATAGAGATATACATTGAGTCCTTGGAGAGATCACACCTAATTATCCATGGCAATCAAAGAATCACCATCCATGTTAGCAAGCCCTGCCACACACTGCTTCTGCAGCAGCCTGCTTCTGCAGTAGCCCACTGCCTTGTGTGTGACAATATAACATACCAGCGAGGTGCATCTCTCTGGATTTAAGAGCATGGAAAATAAGGACATTGCAGCAAGATTGTGTCAAGGCGCAACAGCTGGACTTAGACGTCAGAGGTACCAGGCAGCCCCAGTGCCCGACATACGGTAATAATCACAGAAAGGTTACAAAAGTACCAAAATTCAGAGACAATCACCCCAGTCCTCTAGCTTCTGCCATTTGAACTTACAATGTGCTCTACAAGCATCTGTCTGGTGCGGAAATATGGCAGACCCTCACCACAAGCCGAACATGGAGACTAGCCCCATTGCCAAGGTCCTGGATGCCTGGGTCTGGATCCTGAAACAGAGCATCTGTATCTGAAATCTTGCCCAGAGTTAGATTTTAATCCATGCTGGAAGAACTGAGCTGGAAAGATGAGACACTATAGGGTTTGCTTGAGAACTGTAGAGTTCTCCAAACTTTCCAGGCCATTTATATTACAACCTTGAGAAAATTCTTGAGTTAATTATTTCTTTGGCTCTTTTTATACTGAGTATTTAAAGAGCTTCATATCCTTATGGAAGTTTTAGTTAAGAACAGATGGGAAACCATACAGAAAGCCTGAAAGCTGCAGCTTAACAAAAGTCAAACTGCAACAAAAAAGGGTGAGGACAGAGCAGAAAATTCAACAAGTACCTAGACAGATGATACAGAGAGAGACAGCCTATAACTTTTGTGTGCAGCTATCACTTGGGACCTGAAACTTGGAACATCAAAGGAAACAGAGTGGCAAATCAGCTATTTTGAAAAGGGCAATCTGTTTTCAACGAATTTTGACCAAAATGTCAATAAAATTAAATGTACAGGGCCCAGCCATGCTTGTGGGGCCCTTGACTCTAAGGAGTTGTCTGGGAACAGGGTTGTAGATTTTTTTCTATTGCCAACTGAAATCTTTTTCAGAAGCTGGGCTGGAATTACATCCAACCTCTAATTAATCCACCCAAAGCAGTTGGTTGGTGGTCATGGTCCAGGTGGTGGTAACAGACAGAAAGAATATTTGCTTGACAGTTTTTACAGTGGCAAAAAAAAAAATGTGTCTTGGCAATTGGCAAAATAAATTATTTCTGCTAAGCAACTTTATTTATTGTATTTTAAATCTATCGTGCTGTTGTGAATGGATAAGGGGATTTTTATATGCAATTCAGATGCTGCCTGGGGCTGGCAGGAAAGTAATGAAAGGGAACTGGTCAAAGTCTGCTCCTTCGAGGGGATTCTTCTGATGTGAACAGCATAACAGCCTTGCACAGCCTGATGGCATTAGCATGTGTGGAGGTTAGAGTTGCTGCAGGGCAACGACTAACCTGCAAAAAAAAAAGGGCAGAACAGCAAAGACCTCTCATCTGTGAGTGGGGATGGAGTATGTCTTTGGAAGACCTCATCTAGCAGACTTCAGCGATGAAGGCAGCATACACACATGGGCAAGA